TTTTTTTTTTTGTTTTCCTATTAGAAAAAATACGCGCGTGTTCACTTATGGGACATGCTTTAAGGTGTACTATGCATACGAATACATTAGTGTTTACGAAAGCAAGCCATGGTTGTTCCCTTCGCTTTAAAGGTGTGCTACAATTGAGGTGTTTTTTTCAGCACTTTGACCATTTCTTGTTTTTTCCGTTTTGCTATTTTTTCATTTACTATACATTTAAAGTGCAATTTTTTTTTGTTTTTATCGCCATTCCATAAAATTTACTAAGCACACAGGTTGTTGTGGGTTCCTTTCGCGCGCAGTTCGAAGGGGGTATGGAAAGAAAAATGGAATTTGTTGCACTGGAGTGTAGGAAAAGGTATAAAGTCCAGTGAATTGTATTTTTTTTTTTTTTTTTTTCTAACTAATGCACTGGAGCGGAATACGTGTAGAATTCCTTGCACCTCTAATGGTGGATGTTTCAGCGGCTGAGCTCATTTCTGCAATTTAACTTTCGGTGCGAACGCGAGCATACTATTGCGGTAGGAGGGCGCCCACATTGCGTAACAACTTTTCATAGATGGAAAAACACGCGGAACCTTAAATGGGCGTGCGCGTTCTCAGAGCTACACCTAGTGAGGATTCTTACTCATGAGAAACGCGCAAATATACGTGTGTAAATGAAGAGCCCCTACGTGTATGAATAATTTGAAAAGTGTAAATGCCTAATGCTACACTAAGGATTTTCGTCCGTTTTGTCGCTTTTCTGTTTAAGCCCGTTCGCCGCTTCTGTTTTTTCCCACATTTTCATTCTCGCGGGGGTGAGTATACCCCACGGCATCATAAGCCAAAAGTGGGTAAAAACAAAAAGGGCAACAAAATAAATACCTCCTCTGCGCACTTTTGAATACCCCGCAGAGCGCCCATCACAACACATTTCTTTGCATTTTTCAGAACAATAATGTGAATGTATCCTCCTATATTAACATATTTACTAAGCACACATGAGGCGAATAGAGGCTGTCTCATCACAGTTCCTTGTGGGTGCATCCGTAGCCAATGCCAATTTCGCATGAACAATATGCAAATGAATAGGGGAGAAAAAAAAAACAAAATACCTAAATAGTCATATCTATAGGATCATCCCAAAGGAAAAAACATCTCTGCACAAATGTGCATACGTGTGAGTGTGCTCGTCGAACCCGTTAATTTTGGTCTAGTGATTCTATGAAAATGGGGAGAAAAAAAAATAAAAAAAAGAATGTGTATGCCAGGGGCAAGACTGAAATAGCCATGTTGCAGCCAAAGGAAAAAAAAAAAAAAAAAAAAACAGCTAGCTACTAGCTAAAATAAACAGCCACACTGTTGCGGAACAAAACGGCTAAACAACAAAACAGTCAAACGACAGCAACCACGCTGTTGCATAAAGGGATATGGACCGTGGCGTATCATGCCGACGGACACACATGTAGAGGCGTGATCTTACACCTGTTAGGACATATCTTCTGTAGACAACCCAGGTAGCCATTTTGCATCCCAAGAAAAAAAAAAAAAAAAAAAAAAATTCCTATCTAGCCAATTTTAAGGAAAATATGCTACCATAAGCCAGTTAAGTGAAAAACAGAAAAAAAAAGCAACGATAAACTGGATTAACCCACTTTGGTTACCCTTCAATTTTTTATAATTTTTTTTTTATTCGTTCTCAAAATAACATCGATATTTTAAATAAAAATAATTTTCCCATTCGGTAATGTTTAATATATGTTTTATTTTGCAACAAAAATTTTCCTACTGTTTGGAATTAATTCTTTCAACATATATTTGTTGTGTGTTTTGTGGCATTCTTGTGCTTTTAATTTCGTATCCTTGCAAAGAATTTGTTTTCCCTCTTTTATTTTAAATTTTAAAAGGTTTGTTATTTATAACGAAAGCAGTTCCCCTTTGAACAGCTAATTCTTTTTAAGTTTTTTTTAAAGTTAATCATGGCCAAGACATGCTACTTCCCATTTGTGTTCCTTACATATTTTTTTTTGAGCTCAGCTTTGTTGGCCCGTTCCGATGATGGGTACGTTTATAGTGAATCAGCATCAAAGTATGTAAGACCCAATTCGAACTATGAACAACATCAGGAGCAGCAGAATGTGCAGCCCGCAAAAGCACAAGATGGTGTAGCCCCCTCCATGGTGAATAATGGCCCCTTGTCGAGGCCTCAGTCCTCCTTAAGTGTGCAGGACGCGGAAAAAAGAGAAGGACAAGAAGGAGGAAGCCAGTCGAGACTCAAAAGTGCAACATCCCAAACAGAGGAGGCAGCACCAAAAATATATAAAACAGGCGATAACACAGCAGTGGTCGCCCACAAAGGCTCCATGGTACAAAAGAGTAAGTCCTCGGAAAGGTTAAACGACAAAATTGCAACAATGACCACAATATTTGCCGTGCATCCCTCTAAGTATATCGGCAGCGTGAAAGAGTTATTTCATTTGTACAACAACAACATTGACATAACGAAAAATGGTTTCACTAACGGATCAATATCACTACACATAGAATTTAACAAGCATACAAGTAGTGAGGACGTTGCTAAGCTGAACACCGTGTTCTATGCACGTGCAGTAAACGAGGATGACATGAATGTTGAAATAGCAGATGGAGCAAACCTTATTGATTTAAAGGTGGATGAACTGTTAAGAGAAAACGCATCTGCAAATGGCCTTCATATTGTTTCGTCTGGCGGAAGCGGCGGGAATGTAACTTCGGACCCGTCTGCCAATGTGTACCAAGCTATTAAGGACAGTCAACTGGACGCCACGAAGCTTTTTATCACGCTAAACAAGGAGGGCGAAGACAAGCTTTCTGTTTCAAAATTGGACGATTTTTTGGGCGAATGTTTGAAGGGTGCGCAGGATGCCTTGACGCAGGCAAATGCAGCGGATAAGAAGAAGAAAAAGAAAGCAGGAAATTTGCAAAACGCCGATGAGGTTAGCGGAAGCCAAGCTACCAGAAGCCAAACCAGTAGCGGCGAAACCAGTAGTAACCCTCCCAGCAGTAAACAAGAGAAAGCCAAGAAACACAAAAAGACCAGAAAGGCATTAATGAATGAATTCAAACAGAGCGTGATCTCAAAGGACATGGAGAGGTGTAAAGAGTCTGCCAAGCTCCTAATGGCGAGTTCGACCATATCCACTTTGATGTACCTGTTCGTACTAATAGCACTGAGCGTCTACTTATTGTAGGAAGCTGACAAGAAGAGACATTGTGTTGATCGTCGGGTGGCACATGTTGCACGTGCGTTTAGGAAAATTTTCCACTTTGCTACCCGCCCCTTTCACCCGAATGGACACTTTAGCTGCATAAGCAGCTTACACACACGAAAATGCCCAAAGCGCATTTCCATGTTTTTTTGAATAGCCATGCGTGATAATGTTTTTGCGACGAGCTTTGTTACGCTTCTTTTCGGGTGTGTTGCGCTTTTTTCGCGGAGCGTAACACCTAACATGTGCTGCGAAGGAAAGATTCCTCAATGGAAGAATAAGTGCGCGTGGAAAAAGGGCCTCGGGGGTGTGAGCCAATACACGTGTGCACGTGCATACACATACACACTTTGCATAGTTTAATCTGCACCCCCATTTTCACGTTACTCTATTTTGAGCCTATTTTGTATTCCATCCAATTTTATTTTGAAAAAAAATTAATGTTTTGCCACTGCTCGCATTTTGTCACAATTAATTTAAAAAAAAAAAAAAAAAAAAAATGAACATGGGATGTGTTGTAAAGCTAACACATCACACGGTATGCAGAATGACACGCCGATTAAGCGGAACGGATGCGTGCCTCGTGGAGGTGTACGCTGTCTTAACAAACGAATGGATTCAAACGGGTCGAGGTGGGATAGAAAAGCGGGACATGCGCGGGGTCGAAGCGGAACGGCGACTTGGTACCACATCACCACCTGACATTGTGGGGAAGGAAGTTGCGGCGCCTGCGCGCACGGTTGTGCTCCGAGGGGTTCTGGAAGTGAATTTGCATGACGAAAATTTTCTTCTTCTCAAACCACTTGTAGTAAAAGTCCTGCGTTTCGTCTATGTCCCAGTTTGGAATTTTAAAAGCAACCGTTTCGTAGGGTTCGGCTGCGAACAACAAGTACTGATACTTTTTGTCTGGAGGTTCGATTTTCTGTTCAAAGGATGACATGAAGCGGAACTTGGGTTTGGTGTTTTCTTTTATATTAGGAAAGGACAATTCGAATAGGATGCCCAGTTTATTTCTTTTATTTTTCACTTTGGTCACATCATATCTTGGTTTTCCGATTTTTACAATTTTTTTCGGTTCAGGGGTAGCTTTGTTTAGTAACTTACTGGTGGTCAATTCGTTTTTTTCCTTTAGTAATCTTTGGCTCAAATTCATTTGATGTTTTTTTCCCTGCGTATGACACAGGTAGGAGCTTTCATTGTTATGCAGAGTTAAGCATAATTTACATTCGTACATGCCAACATTATTTTTAAGGATGTATGGGTCTTTCGTGATATCTATATTTTCTAGTGCCAGTTGCTTCAGTCGTTCTCGTCTTTCCTGGTTTATGTCCTCCCTGGTCATGGGCATGCCACTGCCCGTTTTGTGCCCGACTCGGTTTTGGAAGTCCATCTTTTCTGGGGTAGGCGGGTGAGGGGTTAGGCCAGCTTCGTTATGTCAACTGATCTCCACCCCCTGCTTGGATCGCTCCTTCCCAACGCAGGGATACGGCTTCATCCAGTGTGGCACCTTTTTCAGTTCTCCTTGTTAGTAGTCGCAACGGACACGCTTTTACGCGAAATATGGTGACTACTCCGCTGGATGGTGAATGCATAACCTCGTCAATCCATTCACGCATATATTACATGCGAATGCGTTGCTTTATGTGGACTGACTACAGACGGAAGTGCTCCTCTGTTTTTTTCCCTCTTCCTCTTTTCTTTCCTCCAATGAATGCTTCCTACATTGGATGGCCAAGGGAGCATTAGAGAGCGCATATCATCCCTTATATATACATATATATATATATAAAATAATAAAAAAAAAAAAAAAAAAATGCGCAGGGATGAAGGGGAAAAAGTTTATAAACGACGGGAACCCCTCACCTTTAGCAATTTATTTTTTAAATTATTCTGGTAGGTATAATTTGGCCCTTAATTTGACATATTATATATATCGCTGTGCATTTGTAAAAAAATGTGTTTGCCCTTTTTTTTTTTCTGTTACCGCTGCTCTACCGTCGCCGCCGCCCCTCTGGCTTATTCCATTTGGGGTATGAAGCATTGGGAGTGCGGTGTATTACTGCGCACGGGGTGGGTAGCATATTAAAGTGAAGCGCCCAGGTGGGGTTAGCCTTGCACAGGCATTTATCTTCCCCACTGCAACCCTCAGGAAGAACTAATGTACAAACAAGTGCACAAAAAGGTAATCATTATATAAGTATGCACGCTTGTTTATACATTTGTGCGTTTGCGCATGCCCCAAAACTGTGCGCAGCACTTGTTTTATAAAAACCTGTGCTCATAGAAAAGGCCAAGGAAACGCCCAAAGGAGGGAAGCGAGCAGAACTGAAACTTCTCCCAGTTCTGCCCCCCTACACCCAACCGATGAACCCCGGGGAAGATGAACTACTACACGAGTTGTTCACCACACGGGTTGCGCCTCACCCATGCTGTTCGCATCACACATTAGGCGCATCCCCCCGGCCTTACCCCAGAAAAGCAAAGTGACTTTTGGTTAAACCCAATTTTAAGCGAGCCAAGCGCCAAAAACCTCCATTTTTCATGCCCAATATGTGAGCCCCATAAGAGGTGTATAAACACTCGGAAGTAACAGTTTGAGCGCTCAACAGGGATTATGTAAAATAACCAGTGGGGGAGAGAGGCATAGAGAAAAGTCTTAACAGACAATCGCAAATATTTTTGTAGTGTTTTTTGGCTCAAGGTGAGATCCACGTGGTGTCTCCAAATCTGTTGATGCACACCCAGTGGGGGAGAATCCAAATTTGTGGAAGCCCATCAAATATGAGCACCCACAAAAAAGGAGAGAGAGCGCCACACGTTTCCCAGACAGAAGAAGACCATCGTGTAAAAAATGTAAAGCATAGAAAAGGGGAAAATGAAAACCTTTGCCCTACTACACAAGTTGCAGGTGCACACATTAGCTCTACAGGAGGATGAACGTGAGGGCGTCTGTTTCTTTTCCCTGTGTGTTAGCAATGGCTTTGTTTACGTCGGTTCAACCAATGGGAGGATTTTCCTTTTTAAGAGAAGAGGGCGCTGCTTATTCGAACCCGTCCTTTTTCACAGCGTCATTAGGAGCCATACGTCTGGAATAGTAACAAAGGTTAGAATTGGAGGAGAAAGGGGTGTCTTCATCACGTGGGGGAACAACGCAAATGGGGGATAGTCAGGAGCAGTTCGAGTGAATCTTTTGTTTCCCCTCTGCACTTTTTGGTGTATAACCCACTTCGCATGACCGTGTTTTTCCATTTTGTCCCGTCCTTGTAGATATTTGCCTTGGAACGTCTTCACCTGTTAATTCATGGAACGGACAAAGGGGGCATTTACGTCCTGGGGAGTAAGAAGCTGGTCAGGAGAAAATGTTTAAGCATGGCGAAGGGGAAAAAGGATAGGGTGCGCAAGTTGGTAAGTCATTTTCATAAAGGGGCCATAACGAGCATAAATTGTGTAGTGCAGGAAGATGCCAGGTACAGGCGCGGAAGGAGCGGCAGGAGTTGCAATGGGGAAACATTGTACGTCTTTGTGGGAGACCAGCAGGGAGTGCTCTCCTGCATCGTTTTAAAGAAAAAAGGGTCCAGGTTAAGAAGCGAGGCGAATATTCTCCTCATCGATAAGACAAACGGTCCAATCAGTCACATAGAAATTGAGCGAGATATAATTTTGGTCACCTGTGAAAGGGTTAATGTTATTATGAATGTACATGATGTGATTGAAAAGAAGAAGGCTAACTTTAGCACCATTGGGAAAAAAGAAAACAAGAGTTATTATCGGTCTGTATTTTGCACGGCCAAGGGTGGGAAGGGGTACCCGTGTATTTTGAGTTTGAGGAAAAATGGTCGTGTGTGGCTAAGTCATGGGGAGAGGGTAATAAACACATTAGTTTTTTACTACTCTTCTGTTTATTTTTTTTACTTATTGTTTTTTAAGACGGGGGTTAGCGGTGGACATCGCCCAAGCAGTGGTGGACCCTCCTTCCCATTCCACGTATACCAAAAGGAGCTCATTAAAAATGTTCACTTCACAACCCTTTTAAGGACAATTTTAAAAAAATTTACAAATTTCCTCCTGCCTCTAAGACCGAATGCGAACGTGTGTTACAGGATAGATAGGGATCACTTTGTCCTATTTGAATTGGACAATCCGTTCTTGTCCTTCCCGAGTGGCTCCCCAGATGCACGCGCCGGTAAGCTGCCAACAAATGACGAGCAGGAAAATCTCGCCCAGTTGAAAAAAGATATAAACTTGATAAGAAATTTCATTGAGGAGGAGATGGAAAATGGAAGGGAAGTCGGAAAGGAAGACAAACTGAGCGGAGAGAAAACAAAATTCTTATCATTCTTAATGGACAATTTGGACGATGCAGAAAATATTCTGCGCAGAATTAAAAGTAAAAAAATAATGGTTATTAATATTAAAAGCATCGAAATGGAGGACATGGTGGACCTCCATGTGGGTTCTCTATCCTGGGGATGCAGCGACATGACAGAGCAAGCGCAGTGGTGCGAAACGCATGGCACAAGTAACAAGATTGCTCATATGTTGGGTAAAGAAGAAGGGGAAGGGAAGCAAGGGATGATTCCCTGTGGAAAAACAAATCTAGGGTTGTCCCCCAAGAAGGAGGACACCAAACAATGCGTTTCCCCGAAAGAAAGCATCCATAATGGGGACACCCCATCCCCCAATGAACCCAGCAAAGGAAACGAAACAGAAAATAAAACACACATAAGGAGAAATACTTGTTCGAAATATTTTCCCCCCAATCAGATAATCGATTCCGTGAAGTGGAAAAAGAAAATTTTCCTGTTATACTTTAATCCAAATATGAAAAACGATTTTTACGTTTCGAAAAACATAAGTGAGGTTTTTTTCTCACCATACAATGTCGTACCAAGGGGGGGAGTCCAGGAGGTAGAAGAAAACGAGGGTGAGGGTAAAGCACAAGAAGGGACACACTTCTATCTGTGTGAAGTGCACACTGAGGACAACTTCAAATTGGCAAAATATCTCTCAAACGAAATAGAAAACGTGACCCACTTGGAAAGGTACTCATTCCACATGCTGCTTTTCTATGTGAGTCATTTTTTCGATTACATAAATGCAAAAAGGGAGACCCTAGATGCAAATTTTCTTTTCCACGTGGACAAGGACCTCGTACCAGTAGAAGAAGCTAAGGGTGTTGACGATCAAATAAATAACGTTCTATTAAAAAACATAGAAGCTGCAAAAAGGAATATAAAGGATTCACTTTACATGACCCAGAAAATGAAAACAACTGGATCGGATTTGATCACTGATAATAATTATGTACAGGGGGTAGACTTTTTGGGCAGCGTTTATACTCCTGTTAACCCCGCCTATTTGCATGTCAATGTGAGGAAGGCAAAAAAATTGTACAGCCGTATGAGGAGCGCAGTGGTGAAATATATGCCCGTGTTTTATGAGGTTATTACGTGCGAAGTGTTTCCAGAAATGGCGCAAAATGGGCACCTCCGGTATGTAAACGATTTCAACCTCACAACATGTGTAACACTCATTCGAAATACTCCTCACTTGCTGTTTCAATTTTTACACTACTTCCATATCTTTGTCTACCTCGAAGTTGTCATTACAAGTTTTATACACAGAGAGAATTACTGCTTCAGAAAATTTCCAATGTACGTGCCGGAGAGGAGACTGGGGGGAGCGGAAAATACGCTTACCCCACGTGCACATGGTCATGATCATGCTTATACAGAAGTGGGAGTAGCACAGGGCGGAACAGTCAATCGGTTAACAAGTTACGCAGTGGTACAGGTAAGAGGCGCAGATAGTAATTTTAACCTTTTCCCTCACCAGTTTGCGAACATAACGGGGGGTACAAACGTCGTTAAGCCACATGCAGGAGGACCAAGTGGGAAAATAGGATACGATGCCTTTGTTGACGTCTGTGGGGGATGCTCGAAGAAGCGACACCATCTGTTCACGGCAAGAGGGGAAACATACCCAGGAGGGTTTTCATTTGATGGGGGAAACACCTTTGACATTTTCGACCATCTCCTGTTTGTGATGGAAGGGTGGTCCAAAAAAGGGAGTGCCGTGAGGGAGAGACTTACAGGTGGAGTCTCCCTTCCAATGCACGTATCCCACCTCTCGAAGGAGGAACTTTTCTTCGAATGTAATAGGAGGATATCTCGTGAGGGGAGTGTTCGAAACGTGCCTCCGCTTATGCACACCTTGTACGTATACCGAAGGTGGAAAAGAGGCATCTTGGCTAAAAGTGGTGAGCGGTTTGAGTGGCGAAGGAGGCCTCGCAAGAAAGTCAGAAGAAGGATGCTCCCCCAAATGAGTCGCGTTACACGATTGTTCGAAGGAATAGTTCCAACAAATTTGTCTCCCCATGCACACCACGAATATGTCGAGCAAAAGCAGCTCCTGAAAAATGGACAGAATTATTGCACCCAATTTGAAGAGCAAAAAGGAAAGTCCCCCCCATTTCAAGGTGATCTCCGTGATGAGAAAATCCAACGGCAGCAGAACAAATTGCGTAAACTGGTTAACCTAAGGAAGCTTTTAAAAACGTACATGGAAAATGCCACCTACAAGAAAGGAATCCTGAAGAACCAAATGAAAATACAAGACTTTTTGAAATGCACAGCGAGGTTATATTTTTATCGAAAGGTCACTGAAGGGGTGTACATAGTAAACCTTAATGAGTATCGCCAGATTTATGAGTGTCTCGTCCTGTATCATTTATTTGTGAATCTATTTGAAACAGAAATTGTTTTGTTCCTCTTGCACTCTAATTGTAAGGTCAAAATGGGAGTGACCAATAGCGACGATCGTGGGAGCGGCATCCTTTGTAGCACGTCCTGCCGTGAGGAGGGAGATCACCAAAATGGCGTGGTAAAGATTGTGGGAAATAAACAAATGAAATTTTTCCAAAAATGGAATGAACACATTATACGAAATAATATCCTGCTGATGGATATTCTCTTCGGGTTTTACTACAACTCGGAGGGAAGCACAAATGCAAATTTGAAGTCGTTCATGAGGAAGTTTTGCAATTTTAGGTACCTAGCTGAGTATATCAGTTATGTGAGTGGGGGAGAAGCAAAGGGGGAGATGATGAAAGGAGTGGGCGACCACGTTCCAAATGGGACGTCCCTTCTGTTCAGCTTGGATGAAGCGGCGCGGAAGGGGAGCGACGTCGACATGCATGCCAGATGTCTTTTTAGCAACTCCCATGGGGGGGGCCTGTCCCGGGCGTGCATTGTTGAAAAGCGATTAGACTGGTCACGAGCACAACAAAGCGGATCCACACAAGAGGTAGCATCCCAGCCACATGGCAAGCCATCTACTGTACATAATTCTTACCATTTGCCTGACAACGTTGGGGAGAAAAAAGGAGGGAGAAAACATTTGAAGAAAGCGAAAAGGGAGACATACCGCCTCCATGTGGAAACCTTCCTGAGGGTTTATATCCATTTAGATAAGAAGCACCGATGCACAAAACGTCAGCGAGGTGTTAGCGTATTCCTTTTTTTTAAAAATATTGATGTGTACAATTTTGTGAGAATCGTTTATCTGTTGTGCAGGGAGAAATGCCACCATGAGCTCCCTTTGTGCGCAGGGAGGGCGGGACATACAAATGGGGAACTATTCAGAAAGCAGCAACCCATGTTGAACTCGCGCCAGGTGTCTGCGCATATTAGAGACATTCTACACAAGTATGAAGAATCAAGTGGGTTAAAAAAAGTGAACAGGGCCTTTCGCGCGTTTGTGAACGATTTGATGGTGGGGGAAGGGACAGATGAACCCTACCTAGAGATACTTAACCAACGGAGCGTAGAATTGTGTGTGCAGTATGTACGTCATCTTATAAAAGGGAAAACGGCTTGCCAACATTCACCGGGAAAGAAGAAGAAAATGTCGCTTTTGGTGTGTAAGCTGGCGCATCTGCTGCGCATGCTGAATTGGACAAAGGCGTTATCTGCGCTTTTAGATTTGTATAGGAGTCTCTCTTGCGAAGTTTTTTTTTTCACTCTCCTTTTGGAAAGGCATTCTAGTGAATTGGGAGGAAGGGCCCTCCATCTTCTCCACAAGAACTATTCTACACTGCTAAAGAAGAATCAAAGTTACGAAGACGTAGTTATGCATATGCTGTTGCACGTCGGAAGAAACAGTGGGCATTATTTCAGCATCATGATTATGACAATTCTTAAGTACTTTTTTGAAAATTTTTTTTTTTTAAAAAATGTATGTGTAAGTTTGGAGGACGTTATGACAAAAAGGTATTCTTCATTATTTTTGTGTTTCTTCAAAAATGGAATGTTCAAGAGGGAATGCATTTTTTCTCCAAATTTGTTCAAGTCTTTTCACACAAGTGACAGTTTTTTTTTTTCTGGCTATTCCTTTGTTAAGTACCTTTTTAAATGTTGCTATAAATATATGAATTTTCAGAGCGACAATTTTTTAATTGTGTTAAATAATTTGCTATATGACCATTTTGTGAAATTATTTCATTTTTTTCAAGTAAGCTGTTCGTCTTTTTTGCATGTGCACTTTTCTTTTTTTCTGTTAATATCTTATTTTTATGTTGGATATTATGCGTATGTTTACCCCCTTTTGCGTTTTTTTGGGGATGCATTTTGCGCCCTTTTGCCCAAGTTGAAAATTTTAAATTGCAAAAAATGGGAGCCACAAAGTTGTGTGTTAACGGAGGAACAAGATGATGAAGAAGAAGAGGCCCATGGGACGGGCCATAAAAACGATACCAAATTTTTCAGTCAAGTGAAGTGGCAGAAGGATGTTGTCAACCCCTCGGAGGAAAGTCTACTACATAGCGTTGATTACCTAGCCAATTTCTTTTTCGCGGTATTAATTAAATTTCTGTGTGAAGTAAATCACAAGGTGTGCAGCAAGGACGTCGATCTGGTCATTCATAACACCGGAAAGAACGAAGAAGTCTACTTTAAGGCATCTGAATTTTTGAACAATTTTTATGGGTCATGTGAGCTCGTGTCCAGCAGGTGTGGTGAAAACGGGCTGGGCAAAACCTTTCACAAGCAGGACGCAGTAACATGTAGAAGAAAAAATATCAGCGTACAGATTTATGACCGACGTGGTAAGGCTCACACCATCGTGGAAATGCTTAACTCCTTTTTTGGGGTGCTCTGCTGTTTGCAGTCGATCAAACTTAGCCTTAAAAAGGGGCGCCCCGTTTTTGTGCGTACAAATAGGCATTACAGGAAATACCTACTGGGCATAATTTGCGGGCTGTTTGGGGGCGTGTCGGAAGGGAGCGGCGAAGGATACCGTTGCAAAGAGGCAAGCGGACGGAGCACAATTGGCACCCCCTGCGGGAATCGCGGTTTCCAACTGGATCGTTTCGCACAGAAGGAACGCTCCTTAAGTGTCCTAACCTGCGTGCTCTGCATCGCCCACTTCGTGAGTCACTTCAAACACATCAAAGGAGAGATAATCAGAAAATTCATCTTCATGCTTGACTACTTTTTGGCCAACCAGGACTCCCCGAACTTTCAGCAACAACACTGGGGATACACACCCCAGAAAAATATACACCAAATTTACAAAACGATCATAACAAACTTACCCACAAGGGTGTTACCTGTTAAGTGAGCGCAAGAGACACGTTTGTTTTGTTTGTAGTATTGTCGTGGGGTGCTTCCACACAATGCGGTGTGTAACGCTTGGCTTCTCTTGGCCAACCTCGTTGGTAAGAAGTCACGCCGTTACGCAATTTAAGCGGCCACTTGATCGCTTCGCTACCTTACCGCCTCGTCACATTTTTTTTTTTTTTTTTTTTTTTTTTTTTTTTTTTTTGGCCACTTCCCACTCCCAGGTGTAATAGAGTTCGTCCTCTTTTTTTTCTCAACCCTCTTTCGAAACGTTATGCTATTTGTTTTGCCATTTTTATGAATATTTATTTTTAAAAAAAATATTTTTTAATGTTCACATGGCATGTGTGATACACATGAGTTTTTATTTTTTTTTTTTTGTGTACATTTAAAAAAAAAAAAAAAAAA